GAGGAAAATCTTCTGTAACAGTGACATCTGTTTCAATCATTCTCAGAACATCAGTTACTCCGGTGCCTCAAAAAGTCCAATTTCCAGATTACATGGGGATGACTTTTTGAAGCGGGTCAAATTGTACCTGTCACATGAAGCAACATGTCCTTAAGTAGAATCTAACACATAAAGATCGAATTCACCTGGAATAGTGGACTAGAATAACATCTCAAAGTAGCAGCCTCAGTGCCAAACCTTCCCCATAAGCTCTGGCAAGTTGTCTCCATCCCTTGTTCTTCCCTTACCCATCATAATGGCCACCATATCATGGATGGCACACATGGTCACTGGTAACATAATCCAAGCAAATAACAAGATTACCACTACACCAGGAGTCCCCAACCTCTTGGCTGCAAACTAGTACCAGTCCAGGCTTGTTAAGAACCAGGCCACACAGCAGGAGGCAAGCTTAAAAGTAATGTGCTTGAATCATCCCAAAACCATGCTCTGACCCCCCCATCTATGGAAAAAATTGTCTTCCACAAAACTGGTCCCTGGTGCAAAAAAAGCTGGGGACCGTTGCACCACATAAATAAGGCAGGCAACCCTGAGACATCAGTGTGTCAAGAGCAAAGGAAGGACTTCTGCCATGATGGAGGCGTAGGTGGAAACACTGTGCCTTCTCACACAACCAAGTTTAAAAACAACAAAGTATTAGCAACAAAAACACAGCCAAACCACAGAAAATTGAACTATACGGAAGTCTGACAACAACGAACCACTTAGCCAAACCAGTAAGAGGAGCAGAGCCAGCAGCAAAGCTGGGTCAGGCGGAAAGATCTACAGGACCGACCCAGATGCGCGACCCAGGCTCGCAAGCAGCCGTGGGTGGATCCCAGGTGCGGAGTAGCAGCAGGCAGACCCACTGAGGGCTGACCTCGGTCACACATTCATGTACAGATAAACCAGCGAAGGAGCAAGCAGTGAGACGAACCACGCAGGCCCCAGCAGCAAGACGAACTGTGCAGGCCCCAGCAGCAAGAAGCAGCAGAGGGGACCACTATTGTCCCTCTCTGACCCCACCCCCACATACAGCATCACAAACCAGCGACCTGGGTGGCCCTACCCTGGTGAACACCTAAGGCTCTGTTCCTCATACATAACAGATCAAAACATGGCTCAAGAACAACTCAGAGCCCCAGAGACCATAACTCTAAGCGACCAAGAAATAGCCAACCTATCAGATGCACAGTTCAAAACACTGGTGATCAGGATGCTCACAGAACTGGTCCATTTTAGTCACAAATTAGAGGAACATATGAAGGCTAAACTAATTGAAATGAAGAGAAATGCACAGGAAAGCAATAGTAATGGAAAGGAAACGGACTCAAATCAAGGGAGTGGACCAGAAAGAAGAAGAAAATGACCAAACAGAAAAGGATGAAGAAACAAGAATTCACAAAATGAGGAGAGGCTTAGAACCTTCAGGACATCTTTAAACGTTCCAACATCCGAATTATATGGGTACCAGAAGGGGAAGAGGAACAGCCACAAATGGAACACTTATTTGAACAAATAATAAAGGAGAACTTCCCCAATCTGGCAAAGGAAATAGACTTCCAGGAAATCCAGGAAGCTCAGAGAGTCCCAAAGAAGTTAGACCCAAGGAGGAACACACCAAGGCACATCATCATTACATTAGCCAAGATTAAAATGAAGGAGAGAATCCTAGAAGCAGCAAGAGATAAGGGGACAGTCACCTACAAAGGAGTTCCCATCAGACTGTCAGCAGATTTCTCAGAGACCTTATAGGCACGAAGGGGCTGGAAAGAAGTATTCCAAGTCATGAAAATCAAAGACCTACAACCAAGATTGCTCTATCCAGCAAAACTTTCATTTAGAATGGAAGGACAGATAAAGTGCTTCTCAGATAAGATCAAATTCAAGAAGTTCATCATCACCAAGCCCTTATTACATGAAATGTTAAAAGGACTTATCTAAGAAAAAGAAGATAAAAAAGATGAACAGTGATAGGACAGCAAACTCACAGTTATTAACAACCACACCTAAAACAAAAGCAAACTAAGAGGACAGCTAGATCAGGAACAGAACCATAGAAATGAAGAAGATCTCATGGAGGGTTAGCAACAGGGGAGTGGGAGGAGGAGAAGGGGGGAGAAGGTACAGAAAATAAGTAGCATAGACGGAGGGGAGAAAATAGAGGGGAGGGCAAGAATAGTATGGGAAATATAGAATCTAAAGAAATTGTGACACACGGACATAAATTAAAGGGGGGGAAATGGTAGTGGAGGGGTAGATAGGGTGGAGGGGAATGAAGGGGGGAAAAAGAGTAACTGTAATGGCATAATCAATAACATCTATTTAAAAAACACTTAAGAAAAAAATTCCCAGTCAGGATATATGCCTGGGTTGCAGCCTAGGTCCCCAGTGGGAGGTGTGTAAGAGGCAACTACACACTGATGTTTCTCTCCCCCTCTTTCTCCCTCCTTTCCCTCTCTCTAAAAATAAATAAAATATTTTTAATAAAAACTAGAATTCAGCCCTGTCTGGTGTAACTCAGTGGATTGAGCACAGGCCTACGAACCAAGGGATCGTGGTTCAATTCCCAGTCAGGGCACATGCCTGGGTTACAGGCCGGTTCCTAGCAGGGGACCCACCAGAAGCAACCGTACGTTGACATTTCTCTCCCTCTCTCCTTCCCTTCCCCTCTAAAGATAAATAAATAAAATCTTAAAGGAAAAAAAAAAAAGAGCAAAGGAGACCATGCCCACAAAGAGAGAGATTTTAAGAGTAATGATTAATATTGGTAAAAAGTAGCTCCCTAATCATTTTTACCTCAAAATTTTTTAATAGAACCTTATTTAGGAAGTGTTTTCAAGGGAACTTCTCACTACATAAAATAAGCCAAATGACTCAGAAAATGTAGCAATTCAAAAGTGCACATTTTCAAGTTGTTAGTTTTATAGAAACAATTAAATTTTATAATACTAAGATTAGGTAAAAAAGACATACAATTAGATCACTGGATGATCAATATCTCTAGAACTATACTGGCCAATATGGTTGCCACTAGCTACATGTGCCTATTTGAATGTAAATTAATCAAAATTAAATAAAATTTAAAATTCGGTTCCTCAATCATACCAGCCACATTTCAAATATTCACAAGCCAATGTGTGGCTATGATGTGACCACGTGTTAAGAGATAATAGATGTAGAACACACATATGTACTCCTGAAGCATGTACTACAATTATGGCATAGAACACAATATTCACAAAAACAAAAATCAAATATAAGTAGAATGCTCTGTACTGTGACTCTGGTAGCTCACTGGTACCCACAACTGTACAACTCACCCAAGTGTACAGTTTATTTTTTGTTTAAGATTGTATTTATTTATTCCTAGAGAAAGGAGAAGATAGGGAGAGGGGTATGTAACATCAATGTGTGGTTGCCTCTTGCACACCACCCCCTACTGGGGACCTGGCTTTGCAACTCAGGCATGTTCCCTGACTGGGACTCAAACCAGCAACACTTTGGTTCTCAGGCCTGTGCTCAATCCACTGAGCTACATCATCCAGGGCCTAACTGTACACTTTAAATGGATGCGGTAATGCGGGTAAATTACTCCTCAATAAAGTTGATAAGGAAAAAAAGAACAGACACATGCCCCCTGATAAATTCCAAAGAAAAAACAAAAAAACATCAGGGTTGTACAGGAAGTTTCAAAGTTCTGAGTCAATGTTCCTTTAGTCAAGACCCTGGCAGGTCAGTCTGGGGGACCCAGCCAGAGTTGGGGGCAGATGGCTAGAGCAGAAGTGAGCGCACATACGTGCATGGTAAGAGGTGGGGAGAGAAGAGACCCAAGACACTGTAAAAAGGAAGGGAAAGAGTGCAGCTCCCTAAAATGGACCTTGCCCTCCTAACTGCAAGCCACCAATAAGATTAAGCCATCAATAAGCCATTTAATAAGATTATTAAAACCACACACTTACTGAGGGACCAATGAAGCTGCAAAGTAATTCTTAGAGCTGTAAGGTGAACAGCCTCACATAATTTTTAAAAACTACCCAAAATATTTAAAGATTTAACACCTGAAAATCAGAACAGCCAGGTAGTACCAATTCCAATTCTATGTGAGGTGATAACCACAAAGCTGATAAAAGTTAATTATTCTAGCCAAGAATCACAGCTGATCACTAACATCAATTCCAAGCCCTTCACTCTGAAGGCACAGACAGTTCCCAAAAGGTGGGAACCTTTTTGGAAGACTGAAAGGTGTACAAGTCAGTTAGGCTCCCGAGAATGATTCAATCAAAAACAATCATTCTCAAATTTGTTCAGCTGACAGTCACATGATATACTGAGGTATAGCAACATCAATAATTGTTATGTCAGAGATCATTTCATATTTTATTCAAACATTCCTACTATCGCTACTAGTTGTCAAAGATTTATTACAAATGGAAGAAATGTGCCCTAGCTGGTATGGTTCAATGGACTGAGTGCTGCTGGCCTGTGAACCAAAAGGCCACTGGTTTGATTCCTGGTCCAGGCACATGTCTTTGTTGTGGGCCAGGTCCCCAGTAGGGGGCTTGTGAGAGGCAACTAATCGATGTTTCTGTAGCACCTCTATGTTTCTTCCTTCTCTTTCTCCCTCCCTTCCTCTCTCTCTAAAAAAATTTTTTCAAATGGAGGAAATGTTCAATAGAAGGGAAATAGCTAAGCATAGTGTGACATATCAGCTTATAATATTTTACACCATTAAAATGATGATTATTAACTCTACAGCAACATGGAAACAGGATCAAATGAAAAAGTGAACTATGCTACATCTACAATATATACACATATGAAAAGGACTAGAGAAAACAGGAACAAATAAGAACTGCTTTTTGTTACATTGTAGGTGCCCATTACATAGCTGTAATAGTATCTATATTATACAAAATACAAATTAAATATTTACAAATGCAAATAGTAGGCACACTTACCACAGTGGGATTGCCACTACTGATCAACTGGCTGACTTCATGGAAAATGCTCTTGCAGTCAATTGACTTATCAAGTGAACCTCGTTTTACAATTACTGCTACTGCTAAGAGAATCTGTTCCCGAACATACTTTTGGAGGCTGTAAAACATAAAGATCAAAGTGAAAACCATTACATAAAAACACTACAAAGTTTCTCAATGTGCCTAAAATTCCTAATAACCCCACTTACATCTGAGTGGAGTACAGCCTGCCCGTTATGCACAGACACCAAAGCCAGAGGGACCCAGATGCAAATCCCCACTCTATCTACTGGATATATGACCCTGGGTGAGACAGTTAACACTCAGTCTCAGTTTTCTCATCTGTGGAATGGGAACAACCATAGCAAGGTTGTTACAAGATTTAAATGTTCTCAAAACTATGCCCAGTGCACACTAAGCACTATGTAAGGGTTAGCTGCTTCAGGCAGTGTTTGACAGATATAAAGTCAGCCCACTAAGAGCCAGATTGAAATTCTATCAGTTAACAGAGAAATTATGACCTAATATCCACCTCCAACCAGTAGTATAAAAGTTAATTATTCTAGCCAAGAATCACAGCTGATCACTAACATCAATTCCAAGCCCTTCACTCTGAAGGCACAAACAGTTCCCAAAAGGTGGGAACTGTTCCCTTAAATGTAGAAAGGCAACATGCTAGCCATCTAAGACCCAACATTATAGAAATATTCAAATTCTAAAAAAATCTTTTTAAAACTCTCATCTCTGAGTTCTGTTCCTCGATGTGGAGGCATTCTATAAAGTCCATTACACCACAATGGCATAAATAACTGACTTTTAACAACTGTTTCCTAAAGGTAAGGATCAGAAAACATAACCTTAAACTTTACAATCCAGCCTCTAGAATGCATAAGAATACAACAACCATGTGTCCTTGGAATAAAACACAAATTCCTTTTTAATTTTTCAATTACAGTTGACACTCAATATTACTGACATTACTAATATTATATTAGTTTCAGGTGTACAGCATAGTGGTTAAATAATTATATAATTTACAAAGTGATCCCCCAGATAATTCAAGTACTCACTTGGCACCACACAGTTATTGCAATATTACAGATTACATTCCCTAAGCAGTACTTTACATCCCCTGTTTTGTAACTACTAAGCTGTATTTCTTCATTTCTTCCCCTTTTCAGCAGCCCCCAAACCCCCTCCCATGTGGCAACCCTCAGTTTGTTGTCTGTGTCTATGAGTTTGTTACCGTTTTGTATGTTCGCTTATTTGGCTCTTTAGATTCCACATATAGGTGAAATCACATGGTATTTGTTTTTCTCTGACTTGTTTCACTTAGCATAATGCCCTCTAGTCTATCCATGCTCTTGCAAAAAAAAAAAAAAAAATCCAAATTCTTTCACAATGATTTATAAGCAGTGTGACCCAGCCCAACTTGGGACACTCCCAGATTACCTGCTGTCCGGCATAATTAGTAATAGTGTGTTCTTTTACTCTGAAAAGCATCCCCAGTTTTGGACATAAATGATATGGTAACCCACTCCTAACTAAGGTCCTTCATGGCTGGGTACCTGCCCCCCTCTCTGATCTCACCCCTTCCACACACAGTCAAAACTGCAGATGTACTAAACTTCCTTTAGCTCCTGGCACAAGTTTCACGCACTTCCAGGCCTCTTAAATGCTTTGCTCTCTGCACAGACCATGATGCCATTTGGTCCAGGCAGCATCCCTGAACAGTACCCCTACACCTGGGCTGGTCATCCCTAAGGAGGACTATCTCACACCTCTCTGTTATAATACAAAGCATCTGTTACCACGGGTTTTAACACCCTCTCCCAGATCAGATGCCATGTTAGGCCTGCTACTGTTGTCCCGAGGTGAAGTACACTGCCTGCCACATAACAGGCATTTGTTAGAAACTTATGCAAATAAAGGAACACATGTCCCTGTGTCTAGATTGAAATGGAAAACCTTCAAAGCACTGACCTAAAGCATTTAAGCAAAAAAATAGAGAGATCCTATTATGGGCAAGAATATGAGATGACCAAAGGAAAATTTTTTTAAAGATTTTACTTTTAGAGAGAGCGGAAGGGAGGAAGAGAGAGAGGGAGGAAAACATCAATGTGTGGCTGCCTCTCATGTGCCCTGCACTGGGGACCTGACCCACAACCCAGGCATGTGCACTGACTGGGAATCGAATGAGTGACTCGTTGGTTTGCAGGCTGGCACTCAAACCATTGAGCCACACCAGCTAGGAATGACCAAAGGGAATTTTTGTACTTTTGGGGGAACACAATAGTTTCAAATATGCTCACTGACTACTACTAGAAAATGCACATAAAGCTGAATATCATTATTAGGAATGTACATAAAGCTAGCTGTAAATATCTATTGACAAGAATTATAAATTACTAGGAAAACAATAAGAGCTAACATTTACTGGGTGCTTATGATATACAAGACTTTTATTAAATTAACTGTACAAAACTTAATACATATAATCTTCGTAACAATCTTTTTTAAAGATTTTACTTATTTATCTTTAGAGGGGAAAGGAAGGAGAGAGGGAGAGAAATATCAATGTATAGTTGCCTCTCATGCATCCCCCGCTGGGAAAGGCCTGCAACCCAAAAATGTGCCCTGACTGGGAATCGAACCACGATCTTTTGGTTTGTAGGCCCACGCTCAATCCACTGAGCTAAAGCCAGGCATAACAATATTTTCAGTAAAGTATTATCCACTCTATTCAATAATCAGAAATATGCAAAGAGGTGAAATAATTTGCCCAAGGTCACAAATTTAAAATTGGAGGAGTGGGAGTCCTTTTCTCAACCATTATTCCATAACTGTCTCTTTTAAAAAGTGTACCTGCATTTTACGGTATGCAAATTTTACCTTAATTAGGAGGAAAAATAAAGGAAAAAACTCTGCACAAAATGGTAGCGTTCTATATAACCTACAGTATTCAATCCACACAGTATACCAAAAACTATAACTTGACTCTAATCCACCCTGTAGGGCATCCTACTAGATAAAAATGTATGTCATGAAAGACCAAAAAAAGGCAGATTATTCTAGATTCAAGAGACTACAGAGACCAAACAAAAATAGTATTATTCTGTTAAAAACAGAGTAAAATAAACCAATCCCCTCTCTTCCCCTATATGTACATCCATTCACTCATCTACAGAATACATTATCCATTAAACCTGAAATGCTAACAAGCTAAACAAACCTTGGTTTTTTACTCACATGCATCAACTTCTAGAATCTAGAAGTGAAGTAGTCAGCACTTAAATGATTGCTAAAGTCATGCCAGTAATTATGATTAAATGTTACAAACTCAGACATTGCTAGTGAACAGTCAGTAGGAAGGAAGGTATAACAGTATGCTCTAAATTCTTTTTAAAGTTTTATGCATATTTATCAACATTCCAACATCCCTCATTACTAACATTTCTAATTATGTAATATTCTCTTCACTGAACTTGGAAATGACCATGTATGCAAAAAGTACCCAATGTACAAACAGCACATAGAGACTGTACCACCTCTTCTTAAAAGAAAGCTTAGTATTTAAGGGACTTAAAAGAAGTAGTAAATGAAACTCCCCCACAAAAGTGGTGTGGCTGATACTTGTCCTTATATTAAAAAAAATCATAAAGCAATAAATGTGTACAATGTTGTAAAATGTTTAAGCACTACAATGTGTATAACATGAAGACATTCACCTTCACCCTGTCTCTTAAACCTGAGCTCCTCTCCAAAGAAACTATTAAAAAATTTAGTCGTTTTTCCTTCTATAACCTTTTTATATAACATGCGTTTCTATACATATACTTGATTCCTCCCCTCACCCGTCTAGATACTCACCTGTTTTATAATACTTACCAACTGCCAAAAAAAAAAACCCAAAAAAAAACCCGAATAAGTACACTGGCTTTTGAACTGAGTCCAAAATGCAACACAAAACCCAACATCCAGCACAATCTTTACAAAGAAACAAACATAGTATCATAAGCTCAATTAAAAAGCATTATTTTCTTGGAGTGGTGAACACACAATATACAGATGATGTATTATAGAATTGTACACGTGAAACCTATATAATTTTATTAAGCAATGTCACCCCAATAGACTTAATTTTTTAAAAATATTATTTCATTAAGAAAACAAGCTACAATCACATGTACGCGCTTTTAAAACATAAGCCCCACACACTGCTTAACCGTAACGTCTATCATTAAAAAAATAAAGCCAAAGGGAAAAGCTCCAAAAGGATAAGCTTCACACGAGAGTTTCTGCAGAACCTCCTCTGTGTACTTACTTGGGCCTCTGTAAGACATAGGTTAAAAGGAATGTTCGCAGGGACTCGATGCTTCCCTTTTCCAGGAGAATCCACTCTCGGACCACTGCCTCCATAATGGCCGTGGCTGCTTGAAAGAGGACATAGTCCACCTTGCTTGTCTCTGAGGACAGAATTAGACACTTTCTGTAAATAGCAGCTCATCTTCCCTAGAACATGTTGCATTTATTAATTTTAAAACAGAACTTTTCAGACAAGGAATAAGATGGTTACCTGTTCTTTTTTTTAATCCAGTGACCTTGCTCTAGCACCACAAAGAGGTTAGTTCCTCTCAGAAGACACCTCAGGCAGGTGGCAGCTAATCCCCGATCACAATTTTCACAAACTTTCCTCACCTCTCTTCAACTGTTACTTCCAAAGCATGAAGAACTAAAAAATAACACAGCTTTAAAAAAAATAAAATAAAAATATAAAGCAATCAGAAAACTTCCTAAGAGATTCTCACCCTCTGCAAAACAGAACTTGGTATCTGCAAAATACTTTAATAAAGTAGTCTTTGAACATTACTATCTGTGATGAGTCACACTGTTAAAATATTACAATTTAAGTAATAAAGCTTTCAGCAGGATGACTCATCTCCAATAGAAAGTTCATAAATAAATATAATTATATTTTTCAAAATGTTAAAAAAAATCACATTTACACAAGGTGAGAAGTTCTTGTGAATTTTCTGATTGCAATACTGATCAAACTGAGTAAAATCCCAAAGCTACACTTAGAAAGATCCAGCCTTAGCTAGCAAGTGATAGTATCTGAACTAAAAACGAAATCCAGAGCAGAACAAAATAGAAAATTAACATACCTAAAAAATCTTTTATATTAATTTTCTATTTTCTTTTATTCACCAACACAACTCCAGTCAGTTTCCAAACAGCATTATCAAAAGGGAGAAACAGTCAAAATAAAGTCAAGGAAAAGTGGAAATTTTCTGAAGCTCTAAAAATAACCATTGTGTGAAATCCATGAGAAGTCTATGATTAGACTGCATGTTATTTGCCCAGCTCACTGGACACGAGTATCTGAAAGCCATGAGAGATTCAGTTGAGGCAGAGACCAGCACCTTCAAGAAATTACCAGAAGAGCATGAAGATACAGTCAGGTGCACCCTTTTCTCTCTTATTCAGGGTTGAGTCATTTAAAAATCTTACAAGTGATCTTGATACAATTAGCCATAAAAGTGTGAGTGAAAAAGTATACCCTACATAAATCCCTATTACATTACACTACTACATAGGGACATAGGAATTTTGAAAATACCAAATAAGAGGAACCAATTTGGATTTTCTTTTTTAATGTTTAATTATTCCATACTATCTTTATATGAATTCTAATTGTGATATTAAGACCCACAAAAATTTAGAGACCTTAAAATATAATCAATAAATAAAGCAACAGATTCAAAAATGTAAACTTATAATGAAAAGATGTATTTAAAGTTCCAGGAGAAAAACAAGTAAGTATTTTATTCAAAGAGGATTTGAAACACAAACCAGCTAAATCTACTTAGATACCTTAGGGAGAAATACAGTACTGCTTCATAAAGGTAACTCAAATAATCTCTTATTATAAACCTTTTTGAAACAAAAGGATGTTTTCTGCATATCTTCATATTCCAGTAAAAATATTAAGAATAAGAAACCTGAAATCCTGAACCATGGGTTTTAACATGGAAGCAAAAATCTCAAGAAGTCATATAGAATTTTAGAAATAGAACTCCAAAGCTCATCTAGTTCCATTCCTACATTTTACAGCATTTAACAGTTAAAGGAAATGAAGCACCAAGAGATAAAGAAGGAAATCCAAGGTCACATGGCTGGTGTGTTCCTTAAGCAATACTGATTTACCCATAACTGCACATGGCAATGAAGGTAAGACCAAACAAGCACTTTCTGATCTTCAAGAACAATGGAACATGCTTTCTCCTAACTTTTGTGCTGGAGGGACAACTACAAAATGTGAATGATGTTCAAAGTTTTCAGGATAACTTTTTTCCTGTTTGGTATTGAATGAAGATCTCTACGTTATTACCCCCACAAGATGCTCTCTAAGAGTAAAGGAATCTAGAAAAAAGAAAGCCAAAGCCCAGATTTTAAAGAAGGAAATTTTCCTACCCTAGTCAATTACCCTTTCCCATGAAAATTGTTATTAGCCTTCACACACCATACTCACCCCTAACACAAATGTGCAAAAGCTGCTTGCAGGACCATTGGCCACCAATCAACAGGACCCAGAATACATGAAGCTTACTCCTCTCTGCTAGAGAGACACTGGAAATAGCCACATCTTCACAAGGAACTCCCATTCACCTAGAATGTCTAATGCTTTTAGAATGGCTTTCCACTGACAAGGGCTTTGTCTACATGACCAATTATTTTAGGACACTGATTTCCTACCACTGTAACTTTTATAATAATTATGTATTTTTTTTTATCGTCAGCCATCTGAAACTAGACAGAGCCATGAAGACAAAAGTTCAAACTGAAGTAAATGTAAGAGAGAAAACATACACACTGCAGTCTAATCAGAAAATATTAAAAAAAAAAAAAGAAAGAAAGAAAAACCTAGTAGTCAAGGCCAGATGTCAGTGATGACAGTTACCTCCCTGGCCTTAAAACACAGGCGATGTAAGCCTCCAAGTCTACTTAATGATAAGCACACATGTACACTAACCTACAATAAGTCTCCTGTTCCATTTTGTTTTATTTTTGGCTACTTCTGAGATAACAAATGAAAGAAATCCATTTCTCCCTGAGAGAAGGACAAAAGAATGCCACTAAGCTAGCTCCAGAAGTGCTGAACCAGTCCCTCACTGTCTGGGAGTAAAATAGTTCTTTAACAAGAAGAGAATGCAGACTTTTTAAAGGTACATTTCATCTTACAAATCTAGAAAACTCCTAAGTGCCAAAGATGTCTGATAGTGCTCTTCTGACACAATGCACAAGCATGCAACATGCACATGTAGACATGTGTGCACACACAGAGAAGAGCAAAAAAATGAAAACAAAAGGATAAGACAAGGAAATGAGGGAAAATGAGAAATATAATGAAACACAAGTGAGAAGGGGAAAGGAAGAATTTTAAGAGGCTGAGAAAGGGAAGCATCAAGGAGAAAGTCTCCCCCTCATCAAACTCTATCACCCAGACATTCTGCAAACACAATATACAATCCCTACACAAGAATGTGAAAATTCTGAATTGCGACTGACTGCCACTTGCATGAGAAGTCTTCTTAGAGGAATTAACCCTTCTGTGCTGGTGGCAACGGAGGACGGAGTTAAAGATATTCTGTGAAGTTCAGATGTAACATTAATGTAACACAGGGCTTGGCAGTACATTAATGACTGTAATACGTGCACTTGGGCTTTTAAATAGTTTATGTCTCAAAACCCAAACTGATTTTAGAAGCTTGACTGGAACTGGCAATACTATTCTTTAGAAATTTTTATCCGAAAAACAAGTTTTCCAAAACAAAGCAACAATACTTCATAAATACACATACTCGAAAAAGAGTGGTATAAACAAATACACTCTAATAAAATACTTATAACTTAGATCAACTACTTCCCACCTAGTACAGAATGACAACTGAATTACAACAGAAAGTAAGATGAACATGATGGAACCTAACTAATGCAGTTACAGTACCTGCCGTGAAAACCATTCATGGATTAGTTCAGGTGCCAGTTTAACACAATGATTTTCTAAATCCATTAATGCTGAGCAATTTCCAGGCAGTAAGAATGAAGTAAGTCTCCCTTAAATTCTTAAGGCTGATGTTTAGTTTTGCTTCTTTTAATTTAATGCTGAGTTAAATAGTCTCCACAGGCATAAAATAAATTTTCTTAGTGTCAGAAACAAATTCAACACTCAAAAAAAAATTTCAATGACCTCTACCTCCTGAGTGGGAAAGAGCCACCTTCCCTACCACTGCTAGCTCCTTGCAAAGAAAAAAAATAGGATTTTTTAAAGTTTGTCATATTTTTAAAGTCATTTGAAATGAGGTAATGGGGTCATGACATTTATCAACTTTTCTATGTTGTTACTACATATGCACCTCACAACTCAAAACAGCTGAATCTACGATGGAACACGACATCACTGTTCCCACTGCACCAGTGAGAACAAGCTCAGAGAAGGTAACTCCTCAAGGTGACCACATGCTGACGACAGCACTGGAGCTGGGACCTCCCAGTGTCTGAACCAGAGCTTCTCCACCTCAATTAATCTAACGACTCTCATTTATAATCCCATATAAAATTAAGCATTTTCAACATGTAACTTTCATTAGGCCAATTTCAATCTGGAAAACAGAGTACAGGTGGCTAACAAGTCAAAGCACAAGATGAAAGGTCAGATATTTTAGTTCCTAATACTCCTAAGCAACTCTGTGGTCATGAATAACTCAGCATTTCAGCGTCTTAAATATGTGTGACAAAAACTGGCTCCAATTTAAAAAAAAAAAGCACTAAGGTTATAAAATATCTAAGAGGCAGAAGATTATATGTGTGTGTGTATAAAAGAAAATAACCATCTAGGGAAAGAGATCATTTCTATACATATATCAGATATAAGGTATCATAAAATTCTTTTATAAGAATAAAACTCAATACTGCATTTTAAGATATGCAGTGATATACAGTGATAACCTACACAAAACTGACTAATATTCACTAAGCAAGCTGAGTACAAACTACATGGTTAAAAAAAATTAAATTGTAGAAAACTCCAAAAACAATTTAAATTTTAAAATGTTGGGATAATATATAGTACACTTCCAATAATAAATGATTATCACGATTGAAAAAATATTAGATTTTCCCCCCACTCTTAACAGCCTTCACATTATGGTCAATAATAAAACAAATTATTAAACACTATATCTAGAGGAGAAAAATCCAAAGATAAAAGTTTTTCTTTCTGGCTATATGGGATATCTTTATCCCATAAAGCCACTTCAGTAGAATGATTATTAATGAAAAATTATAACTGTATAACCTTGCTTATTTTAAGAGGAATTTAAAATTATCTAAACATTCAAGACAGAAAAACTAGAAGTGATTATGCAAAAATATTTTTAAAGTGAATACTTACCCAAAATATGCTTACAAACTGCAAATGGTGATTTGGATTTCCTAAATGATAAGAATATGTGCTCTGCATGCTGGCGTTGCTCGCTGTTGACCATGGAAGGTGGTGCCTTGACAGTTAAAGAGAAACAAAAACAGAGCAAACGTGTTCAATAAGAATGCTTCAACAACAGCAATCCTTCTACTTACAATAAGAAAATACGTTCACTTTTAGGGGGCAACAGAGGCACAAATTCTTTTTTTTCTTTTTAGGAACTATTAATATGAAACTTCATAACCAGTATTTAAAATACAGTTTCGGGAAAAAGGAAGAAATTCCTGGCAAGGTTTCATTCAGAATCCTTTCAAGTTGCCTACATTTTAGAAAGATACCTATCTAACACGCTTTCATATTTTTTAAAAACATAGCTAATTTACTGCCTTTTATTCCAAAATATATCACTCTATCTAGCTTGACCAAATTCAAATAATTCGAAATTCTTCAAAACTGGTGTAAATCCAAAGTCACTTTCCTATCCTAGTCTGCCCCTGCCTTTCTGTTTTTATAAGTGGTTACTCTTGCCTTCTGAATGACTGAACAAAACTTTTACATCTTCTCTTCCAAAATAAAAGTAACAAGCTGACTGATACTTAAGTTGAGACTACAGCAGCAAAGATCTCACTTTATTTTTCTTTTAATTTGATTTATTTATTTTAAGAGAGAGGAGAGGAAGAGAAATATCCACGTACAAGAGATAAATCAATTAGTTGCCTCTCATACGCCCCCAACCAGGGTCCTGGCCGGCAACCCAAGTGTGTGCCCTGACTGGGAATCAAACCAGCGACCTTTCAGTTTGAAGGCCAGCACTCACTCCACTGAGCCACACCAGCCAGGGCCAAAGGTCTCACTTAAATTGTTTTTTTTTTCTTTTTACACAGGGAATGGCTTGAGTCAGTTTTATTTTCCTTAACTTTAAATATGTATATAATTATACCACCTTTGGAAAGATATCTTTGGAATATTCTCTAAGCACTTTCTACTTCCTGCAGGTCTCTTTTTCCTAGGTTATAGCCACTAACTTAACTTAGCTCACAGCACTTTGCAGAGCCAGCGTTTGCTTGGGGGAAGTTGGTACTGAGGGTTCCCAACAGCTTTCCAGTCTTTCTGTGTGTACTAGTCTCACATACAGTTGAAACCTCAGGATTCTCCCTCAGCCTTCTGTCTTCCTTCATGGTACTAAAAGAACCTCCTTCCACTGTCCTGTCTCCAGGACCCTCTGCAAGAACTATTCGGCATGGTACATCTATGTTCTGCAAGAACTATTCGGCATGGTACATCAGTTCCTCCTCAAAGGATGATTTTCTTTCATCAGAAACCTAGAATCCACCTATCCCGACTTCTCTGGAAGTCTGTATCCAGAGTCACTAGCCCAGGAGAAGGCTTGAGCTTCTCTTCTGCTAACCTCCTCCTCTTATGGCCTCCCCCGCCCCTTATATTTTACAAGCTTATGCCAGTTTGTATGTGGTCAGCCCATAAGTAGAAAACCAGAAAAGAATTTCTGGACTTTAGCCCACCAATTTATCTGGTTTTGAATAACCTATTGAGAGCTAAAACTGGCACCTGTTGCCCCAAGCCTTCAGGGTAGTCTAATGGGGCAGAATGTGCTACCATCTAAATATTGGGGAACTGAGTGGAATGTGAGTAAGGTTTATGTCACTGACTAGAACTTTTAAGGGTGGGGTGGAAGTAAACTACTTTTTTGGCCATGATCAAATCTCACCCTTCTTTTTTAAAAAATTAAATAATGGATCAAAATTGACAATTTAAGCCCTGCCTTCAAAATGAAATTTTTAGCACTGTTTAGCAAAAACAATAAAAACTCAAGTTTTTTTAACCATCCAAAAACACAGAAGTATTATCATGTAATTCTACCTCAAATTTTTAAAATTACCATTAAATCTGAAAAATGAGGAATTAGTAAAGTCTGGAATTTACAGAACTCCTATCTGAATAATAAATTAATTGGCCAGAAAACTAGGCGTACCTTAACAAAACAGCTTCTGAAGTCTGCCCAGGTTTTTAAATCCCATTTTTTTCCAATAATCTTTGTTCTCAAGATAATATCCTCGGAACCAGACCAACCTAACTATACAGTCCCATTATAATGGTTTGGGTGTCTTTGACCCATCTGAAAAGGAGAAGAGACTGCTTGTAAAGCCTACCCATTAAAATATTACAATTCTCAATTTGGGAGGGGATGGAGAGGGCAGATGGTAGGAAAATAAACCTTTGTTATTGTAACTAGTATAAAGTAGGGAAATCATAATTTCAACTGTATTAAAAGAATCTGGAAGACAAAAAACATTCTGCAACCAAGTACATTATATCCATATTCATTATAAACTATATCGATTATGCAACATTAGTCATTACAATTTCAACTAAAATAGGAAGGAAGGGAGGGAGGGAGGGAGGGAGGGGGGGGAAGGAAAGACTAACTTTGATGCTTTGGCCTAAAGGAATTCTTATAATTATTTAAAGCCAGTTCCCACTACTATTCTTAAGGATATATCACCCTCTACAGCTCTCTAGGTAAAAATGCAAACATTTCTAATACAGCATTGTATCAAATTCTTTAACACCTTCTTAAAAGGCCTTATTAATAACATATTGTGAACAGCTAGCTGCTACATATACGGTTGTCCTTTCATTTGCAAAATTCTTCACTGCCACCACCTTCCCCAATTTAACACACTGAGTTTGTGTTCTCTCAAGGATTCCATCGTGCGTATTTGCTGACTATACCCTAAAAACTCAGCACATTACTAAGCACTACCTACCACACTACACTGCTGTGAATACAAATCAACTATGGGTTACCCAGAGAATTTCTGAGTTATATATTCTATTTTTTCCTCATCACTTTTGAAAAGCAGCACTACATGCACATAATTTTGCAAATCAATATGCTAGTCAGTCTACAAACAAAAATAGTTCCTAAAGCTAATTTGTCTTTGGACACCCTGATATCCACACACTTAATAAAGCACAGGTTTGAATATAATTTTAATACAACAAAAAGTGATATTCCATTTATAAAATATCAGACTCCTTAAACAGTGAAGTATAATCTAAAAGGTAGATAGAAAGGATTTCACTAACCATCACAACAATCCTATGAAGTAGATACTATTATTATCCCCATTTTACAGATGAGAAAACTTGTACCAGCTGAAAACACGTATACTGACAGCTGTTGATGCATTCACTAAAGACTTTAAATTAATGGTAAGAATTTACTGGATTTTCAGTTACCTTAAACCTTTGGAACTTAACCATTGCTCTTATCTAAATGTAAATCCCATAACACAAAATGATACTGTTACTTTTTAAAAACATTTTATTTATTCATTTTTACACAGGGGAAAGTAGAGAAAGAAGGAAAATAACATCAACATGTGCCCCAACTGGGGACCTGACTGGCAACCCAGGCATGTGCCTTGACTGGGAATCAACCTGGTAACCCTTTGCTTCACAGGCCAGCACTCAATCCACAGAGCCACACCACCCTATGTGATACTTTATTACTTTCTGAATGAGTGGGCCTTCCATTCCCAATGGTATCAGTGACTAGATACATTGAACAACTCTTCTGCTAAAATCAAATAAAAATGGTGAAATAGTTCCAAAAAAATTTTTAATGTATTTTGATTATGCCATTAGTTGTTCTATTTCCCCCCTTCATTCCCCTCCACCCTGCACACCCCCTGCACCATTCCCCCCCTTTAGTTTATGACCACATGTCTCAAGTTCTTTAGATTCTATATTTCCCCTACTATTCTTGCCCTCCCCCCTATCTATTTCCTCCCCATCGTCTATGCTACTTATTTTCTGTACCTTCTCCCCCTTTCTTCTTCTCCCACTCCCCTGTTGCTAACCCTCCATGTGATCTGCATTTCTATGGTTCTGCTTCTGATCTAGCTGTCCTCTTAGTTTGCTTTTGTTTTAGGTGTGGTTGTTAATAACTGTGAGTTTGCTGTCCTTTCACTGTTCATCTTTTTTATCTTCTTTTTCTTAGATAAGTCCCTTTAACATTTCATATCATAAGGGCTTGGTGATGAGGAACTCCTTGAATTTGATCTTATATGAGAAGCACTTTATCTGTCCTTCCATTTTAAATGAAAGTTTTGCTGGATAGAGCAATCTTGGTTGTAGGTCTTTAGATTTCATGACTTGGAATACCTCTTTCCAGCCCCTTCTTGCCTGTAAGGTCTCTTTTGAGAAATCTGCTGACAGTCTAATGGGAACTCCTTTGTAGGTGACTATCCCCTTATCTCTTGCTGCTTCTAGGATTCTCTCCTTCATTTTAATTTTGGCTAATATAATTATGATGTGCCTTGGTGTGTTCCTTCTTGGGTCCAACTTCTTTGGGACTCTCTGAGCTTCCTGGATTTCCTGGAAGTCTATTTCCTTTGCCAGATTGGGGAAGTTCTCCTTTATTATTTGTTCAAGTAAGTGTTCCATTTGTGGCTGTTCCTCTTCCCCTCTGGTACCCCTATAATTTGGATGTTGGAACATTAAAGATGTCCTGAAGGTTCTAAGCCTCTCCTCATTTTGTGAATTCTTGTTTCTTCATTCTTTTCTGTTTAGTCATTTTTTTTCTCCTTCTGGTCCACTCCTTTGATTTGAGTCCCAGTTTCCTTTCCATTACTATTGCTTTCCTGTGCATTTCTCTTCATTTCAATTAGTTTAGCCTTCATATGTTCCTCTAATTTGTGACTAAAATGGACCAGTTCTGTGAGCATCCTGATCACCAGTGTTTTGAACTGTGCATCTGATAGGTTGGCTATTTCTTGGTCGCTTAGAGTTATGGTCTCTGGGGCTCTGAGTTGTTCTTGAGCCATGTTTTGATCTGTTATGTATGAGGAACAGAGCCTTAGGTGTTCACCAGGGTAGGGCCACCCAGGTCGCTGGTTTGTGATGCTGTATGTGGGGGTGGGGTCAGAGAGGGACAATGGTGGTCCCCTCTGCCGCTTTCTGCCACTGGGGCCTGCGCAGTCTGCCTCACTGGTCACTCCTTCACCAGTTTATCTGCATGGAAATGTATGACCGCAGTCAGCCCTCAGTGGG